TTTTTGGCTGGGGAGGTGTCTCCTTCCTGTTAGGAGGTCGGGGAGTCTTCCTTTTTATTCTGACCCCAGACATAGATGCCTGGGGGCGCTGGGATAAAGTCAGGACGCTTTTTTTTTTTTTTTTTTTTTTTTTTTGGCTTGTTCCTGCTTTTTGAGGACAGCCTGTTTCCTGATAGAGCAAGCCAGGCTCCAGGCATGATGCCTTTTGGCACAGTTTGGACACTTGGCAATTGTGTCCTGACCATTTTTGTGTGCCTTGATGCACACTTCTGTTTCATATGCCTTGCTGCACACACCACATTTAGCTTTGGCTTTGCAGTTGGCCTGGTGGTGCCCAAATTTTTGGCACGTGAAGCACCTCAAGGGCTCTGGGACGTATGTCCTGAGCTTGTACGAGCCTCTTGGGAGATCAGTGGCGAGATGCACACTTTTCTCCCATCTTTGAGCACCTTGGTTTCCTGCAGGAAGCTAAGGGTGGCTTTGTCTTTGGGCACGATGATCATGCCCTCATTCGGATTGAGAGTCTGATTTCCCTATTCTTTTCCAATGCCCTAACCACCTGGTAGGCATTGTCAAAGTCTTCAGGCTTCTTTGATACCTTAAAGTGCATGAAGCGATTTGGGGTAGGTTCAGACTCTTCTTCAGAGACAGTTTCCACCCTGCGTCGTTTCGCACCTCCCCTTTGAAGGGGTTAAGGCCTTTATTTGTAGGAGCAGCTGGTTTGGCTGGTTCAGCTTGAACCCTGCTTGACTTTGAGAATTCTGAGGAGAGGTCAGATTTCTCTCAGTCTGGGCTGCAGGCCCGCCCTGAAGTCTAATTGCTGGACTATTTCATGGACAGACTTTGTAGGGGGTGATTTTTCTGTCTTATCCATTTTCTTTGTTGCAGGCTGGACATGATCAGCCTGCGCTTTTGCTTTCTTCTGTCCCCCTGTAGCCTTGTAAGGCTTCAGGGTGACTGCCTTGGTCAATTCCATGCTGTGGTTATCTTTTTTATCAGTTAGAGTGGGGGTGGTGTTGTTTGTATAAGCCATGTGATATTAGCTTTTGTTCAGCCTCACGCAGCCCCACCCATCACGGAGTCCAAGGGGAAGCTGTATATTAGAGCACATTCTCTAACAGCCACAGGTTCTAACGTGAGGGTATATGCAGCCGCTGTGTTGTTCGTGAGACGGCGCTCATAGGACCTGTGTGAGGCCAAACAACACAGCAACTGCTTGACCCTAGTCTCCTGTTGGAGAACAGCCGGTTGGCTTGACCGAGCCAGTCAGGCCGCCCGTCTTACCGGAATGGAGAACTAAAGAAGCGTGTTGCTAGCCGCAGGGCGTACTCATTCACGGCATCGCTCAAAATCCAGGACTCCAATCTCCTAAGCGCACAGGGCTGCCATGCACGGCAAACACATGGGTAGGTCATAGAACCTCTAGGGAGAGACCAGAGGGGATGCAGACCTTCCTACTGGGTAAGCATCATTGAAAGTGGGGCTCAGCTCTTCCTAGGTGTTAGTCAATGGGGGCGGCTGCCTCAGCGGGAGGAAGAGGGAGCAGTCCTAAGACCAGCCAGCCG